GACAAAGTCAAAACCCTCACCCTGGTCTCCATGACCCTGCATACCCGGCTCCCTACTGGTCCTCCCAGCCCCCTCTCACTCTCTCCAGTCCTGTCCCTTCTCACTCCATTCCTCCAGCACCAAGCTCCCCTGAAGGCATGCTCCCTTCCTCCCTCCACTTAAATGGCTTCTGATTTCCCTCCAGGCCTGAGCTCCGATGTCACTTCCTCTAGGAAGCCTTCCTTGAACTCCTAATCCAAGGTTTCTCGGTGACACATGTGACACTTTGGACCAGGTTATTGATTCTTGGCGGGGGAGGGGTGTCCTGCATTGCAGGGTGTTCAGCAGCACCCCTGCCAAACCACCTGCTATAATGACATCCAAAAAGTCTCTAAAAAGGACAAATGTTCCCCAGGGGGCAAGATCGCCTCCTGTTGAGACCCTCTGCTCCAGACTCCAGGCTAAGGCCACATAGCTCCATGCACCCTGTTCTCATAGCACCTGAACTCCTGCCACAGCATGGCACAGTGACATGTCATTTCCAGTGTCCTGCATGGTTAATGTCACCTTCCCTTTCAGACTGCAAGCTCCACAGGCTGGAGGGGAGCTAGACCTGTCTCTTCCTGCAACATCCCAATGTCTCACAGATAGGTGATCGTCAACACTTTTTAAATAAATGAAAGAAACTTTGAGGACAGCTTTTCCTTTTAATATTGTAATACCTTTTTTAAACTGAACCTTTCCTAGCAGTTCAAATCAGCACCTACACTGAATAGGGTTTCTTTGGGAGTGGCTTAGCGAACAGAGCTTTGAAACAGAATATTGACTATTGGCTACAGGCAAACTCCCTTGGGTCAAGTCCATGACCAAAGGGGTCATGCCAACCTGGAGGTCCTGGATGACAAAGAATCCACCCAGATGATTAAAATCTATGCCAGTAATATGAGTACTGCCTAAGAAATAAAAGGAGGCTTTAAACATCAAAAATTTAAAAAACACCAAAAAACTTGGGAGTTAAACCTGACTCTTGGTATCCTGAAATGTCTGGTTCATTGCAGCAAAACGCATCTGGGCAAGAGCTATCTCAGAACAAAAACCATCCCTCATTTTGGCGGGTGCTAAGACATACAATCTTGACCCATACAGAGCAGAAACAGGGATAAGAAAGAGAGAAGTTAGTATCTGTTATTTTACCATTGGTTCAAATAAACTTCTTCACAGATGTATCAATTAGGATTAGGTTTAGCAGCATTAATAAAAAACCCAAACAAGTGAAGCTTAAACAAGGCACCGGTTAATTTCTAATTCCAGGAAATACGAGTCTGAAAATAGGCGATCCAGGGCTAGCGTGGTGCTCCTATCCACCCGGCACCCATCCACTGATGGATGCTGTCCTTTCTGCTCTACCATCCTTACTGCTGGCTCCCGACTTCAAGGTCACACCATAGTCACAAGATGGCCACCATGGCTCCAGCCATCAGATTGGCACAATAAGTGATGGAAAGGAGGATGAAACGATGGCCAAAAAAGAGCCTGCATCCCATTTGGGTCAGCCACATTTAAGAAGCTTTACCAAGACCCACCCAAAATCTCTACAGAGAGCTCACTGTCTACCCCTATTTGCAAGGGTCACTAAGAAATGTTTTGTCATGAGACACACTGCCATCACCACTACCATTCTTCCACCGTTTCCCTGACCCCCTGTATTATTAGCCTGCTAGGGTTGCCAGAACAGAAATCATAGACTGGATGGCTTGGTTTGTATTTCTCGGTTCTGGAGGCTAGAAGTCCAAAATCAAGGGGCCAACAGAGGTCTCTGCTGAGACCTCTGTCCTTGGCTGCAGGTGATGATGTTCTTGATGTGCCTCACATGGCCTTTGGTCTCTCTGCATGCATCCCTGGGGTCTCTTCCTCTTTTTAGAAGGGCAGGAGTCCTAATGGGTCAGAGCCCCACCCTTACAATCTTTTAACCTTAATTAGCTCCCTAAAGGCCCCATCTCCAAATACAGTCACATTGGAGAGTAAGACTTCAACCTACCAATTTCAGTCCATAACAGTCCTGATTATCTAGGGCTTTTTAGTCAGGAAAAGGTGGTCATCATGTAGGCAGATAGCAGTCTCTGCTACAATAGTATCGGTATTTTAAAACTAAGCGATGGCATCATAGTCGATGTAGAGGCCTGACCACCACATTGTATTTCTGAAGCTGATGTTGAATAATATTGTATGTCAACTATAATTATATATACATATAGTCTCGGGACATGGAGTAGAGAGTAGGAACGGATTCAATGGAATTGTAATAGATAAGCATGATATTGGGGGTGGGAGGGCAATACATGGGGGGGGGTTGTTACTTTGTGAGGGTGAAAAGGGTAACTATTGCATTGTTCTGTACACCTGAAACTAACAATAAAAAATAAATAAATAAATAAAAATAAATAAAATAAAACTAAGCGATGGCGGGCCGGCCAAGTGGCGCGATGGTTAAGAACTGGCTTGGGACACCAGAGGGCCCCGGTTCAGATCCCACATATGAGGGCCAGTGACACTGCCCTCTATAGCTAAGATGCTGAACTACAGCTCAACTTGGAGCTGGGCTGCAGTGAGTCGCCAGCGACAGCGTAGGCTGCAGCTCCTGTGGCAGTGGATTGCCATGGGCTACCATGTGTAGCCAGCAGCCAGTGTGAGCGGCCAGCAGCCGCTGTGAGCGGCCGTCCAGAAGCCGGTGACTGATCTGCCTTGCCTGGGAAGAGCACAATGATGGTGCCAACTTGGGCCAGTGAAGCAACGTCCTCCACAACTAGACTGAAGAACAAAACAACAGCAACTTGTCTGTTCCCATCCCCCAACTCCCCAATAAAAATCTTTAAAAAAACAAACAAACAAAAAAAAACTAAGTGATGGCAAAATTCCAGTATTTTATCGAGTCTATGCCTCTCATTTTATAAGAGAAACAACTAGAAACTGCACAGTGGCTGGCCTAGGAACGTGAATAAATTTTCTGACTCTTGAACTGGCACCGGACTTTAGAACTGAAATTGCAGTGAGTTTTATCTATATAATCATATGGTTTTAAAATAAATTTTCTATATTGTCTTTTCTCTAACGAATATGCTACAGTTTGTGGAAACAGTAAAATATACACAGTCAGGCCAACCAAACTTATAAGGGAATATTTAAGGTATTTTTAAACTATCAGGAGTGTCCACATGCCTCAGAACTATCATATTCCATGTTTCAGCTTGGTTCCAAGAATCTTGATTTCAAGATTTGTAGAGTGGGTACCCCATCTTTTTACATTCTGGTGCCCCCCCGCCATCCCCAATATCAAAGCAGAGTTCAATAAAATGAACTCATGATTTCAGACCTCGAAGAATACAGCTTCCTCTCTGTACCAACCCATGAAAGCCACTACATGAAGTCACATATCTCAGGGAACTTTTCATAGGTTTTATGTCTTATTTGATTGTGCTTATCTGACTTCACAATGCTGAGAGACATCTCTAAAAATGTATTGACAATTTTAGTTCATTCTGAGCATCCCTTTAATATATTACCAAGTTTGGACAGTGCAGCTATTCCTTCAAGGGCAGTAAAAAACAGGTACACAGAGCAATACAAACCGGCCTTTCAGCCTATATGTTGACTACATTATGTACAAACCTTACATCCCTAGGACAGCATTATAAAGTGCAGGGCTATAAATAGAATGCCAATTCCAGCCACCACCCACCGGGTTTGGTTAGGTGCAAAACTTCCAGGCAGCAAGCCAACAGATGCAGCTAGCAGTCACCTAGTCCATAGCCCCCACCCCAGCCTCCCTTCTCCCAGGGCTGCCCCCAGCTGTGCACTTCCTCCCACTAAAGCAGATCTCTGCCAAATTCAGTGGCTCCCCACCATCCCTTACAGCCTTCTCCGCCCAAGGTGCCGGCACATTTTTAATTACACTGTTGCTTACTTAATCATGCGTATAAACAATTAATTACCAATTAATCTCACTCGATTTTCCCACACTTTACTGAGCACCTATAGATATGCCAGGGGTGCGCAAATGAGGTCCTGATTCGGAGAGATTAAATCCAAATAAAACCGGGCAGAAAAGGTTCTGGTGGGCTACCAAACAGCGACGTGTGACAACACCACGTCTCTTCCTAAGTTGCACCATTCTGCTATTTCTAAATATCTGAAATTCCTGCCTCTTAGGCTGGAAATGCAAAAGTCTAGGTTAGACGACTATAACCCTGAGGACACTGAAAAGGGAATCCTTTTTACCCAAGCTTTCTAACTTGAACAAATCTCATCGTGGAAGTTAATTACAATGATTTAAAATAAAATAAAAACTTTTATCACATTTTATGATAAAGTGGAGGAAATGCTCTTATGAGAATGGAAGGAAAAAGGGGATGGGCAGTATGGCAGCGGTGGACCCGACAAGCATGCTTCCCAGGAGTGTCTAATTCCCCCTAAAGACCCAGGCAGGATTCCGCAGGGCCGCACCCGCCGAGGCCTGGGGGCACCGCTCCTCCCTTCCCCGTCCAGGAATCCGTACCAGGGGTGCTGGCACCAAGTTGACACCATCGCAGCCTCGTAGCCTCGGGGGTCAGGACATGACAGTCAGCCTCCGAAGGGAGCCCGAGGAGCCAGCGGAGCCGGGCGCCATCCCTGGGCCCCGCGGGCGGTGCGGGGCACGCGGGGCGCGCGGGCGGCAGACAGGGGGCGGGCCCGCGTCCCTCCTTCCAAAGTTTGTTGCAGTTGCACGTTTACTCGCGCTTCCTGTGGGGGTGACGCCTCGGGCTCGCCGTTCGGCTGGCAGCCAGCTCCGGGCGGAAGGAGGCGGGAAGACGTGAGGCGGGCTGGGCGGCGGCGGGGACTCGGGATCCGACAGGGGCCGGGGCGGCGCATGCTGGGGCCGAGGAGCCGGGTCCACCGGGCGCCGCGAGGGGGCGCTGCTGCGGGGGTCCGGGGGCAGGCTGATCGCCCCAGCCCCGCCGGTGAGCGCCCGGCCGCAGGCTACTTACCCAGCGAGCAGGTGAGGAGCGGGAGCAGTGCTGGGAGCGCGCAGCGGCGGGCGGGCGGCTGCATCCCGGCGGCAGGGCTCAGCGCCCTGCTCGGGCGCGAGGACGAAGACGCGCGGGGAGCGGAGCTGCGCCGCCGCCGCCCCTGCTGCCCGGCTGACCCTTCTCCGCGGCTCCCTCCTCCCTCCGCCGGCTCCTCCCGCGCCCCCTGGCGGCCGGCAGCGGCAGCGCCCGTCTGGCCCGCGGTGAGCCGAGAGGTGGTCGCTTCCCTGTGAGGACCAGGCAGGCTTCTGACCTCTGCACCCTCAGGCCACTAGTTTCCACTTCTCCCTCTCCTTCCTCTCCCCTTCCTAGGCCTCATCCTCCACACTGATGCCAACACCTCTCATTCTTGGATCGCCAGCACTAAATCAGTAGCCCCTCTCTGACCCCCAAAGTGATAGGGGGAGGAGGAGGCAGGAGAAAGCAAAGGAAATCACTTTCCCTCCCTTTTATTGTACCATCTGCTTTTTTTAAAAAAAATCAGTAATTCAACTCTTAATACTGTTGGTACCAGTGTTCTACTTTGATGACGGTGTTTTGAATCAGCTAAACTAATTTATTTAATATCCATTTTTAATGGAATTTGGCCAACAGCTTCAGCCTGGAATTTGGCTTTTAATAGAAGTTTGAGTAAATGTAATTTCCTATAAATGTAATTTTAGGCGTTTACCATAATGGGAGAAGAAGGGTGTCATTCAAAACGACTGATAAAAATTAATTTAGTTGGAATACAGGGAAGTGAAGTGACATGTGGGAACTGTGGGACCCATAAGGGGCTCCCTCCGCCAGGAAGAGTGGTGGCCCTGGCAGAGGACTGGCCCCCTCTGTTTGTGTGGTGGACTGAAGAGGAAAGCAATTACAAAGGAAGGACTACAAAGCTCTCTAATGGGTCCGCACCCCCAAGCCTTGACTCATTTCTGTCTTGGGAAGCAGACAGGACCAACTGCCCATCGCCTACCTGCGTTTAGACCACCTCCTTAGATCCTATCCATGTTTTCCTTCATACTTGGCCATGTTTTTTAGATGCCTACTATGTACCTGGGACTGTTCTAAGTGCTCTGTGAATACCAGTATCTTCCACGTGGCCATGCAGTTTTCACCCACTTGCTAAACACCAAAGGAGGATCAGTGCCCAGGGAATGCAAGTGAGGCTCTGAGAGCTAGAGAAATAGGTGCTGAAAAATGTTTGTTGTCTTGAGCCCTATAAATGTGAATGCCATTAGGGGGTGTCACCTCAGACACACTAGGACAGGATTGTCATTTGTCCATACAGCAGCTGCTTTAAAAAGAGGAAGCTGGAGACAGTGAGTTTTCTCTCTCTGGTTTATATTGACTTCTTAAAACTGAGAACAAAATATGGAGTGTGTTATCCATTTTGCATGAATGCAAATAGTGCCACTTTGTCCCATACATGTCAATACCATTTATAGGGGAGGGAAAAGAAATGTAAGAGTCCTTCCTTTCATTCTTTAGTGAGGCTTTTCAAATTTGTGGTTTGACTGCATTGATCCCTTTTATCCTTCTAAAACTTACCTGCCTGTTCTAGAAGGTTTCCAATTTCCAAAAGCTGTTTCGCTTTCTTCCAAGAAATATGCCTCACATGTATTAGATATTAAACATTAAGCAAGGTAGATTTAAAGAGACACAGAAGCCTAATAATTAAACAGCTTGCTTGCCGAGTGTGTGTTCAAACACCTATTTCACGTTTGGTAACAAGCAACTCTGGGTACTTAATCAATGTTTTCATCAAAATTCATCGGGTCAAGGTATTACTGTGTGCTGGAACAAGGGGTGGGGAAGGGGGCCCTAAAGACAACACCCAGCGTGCTCTGTTTAAGTAATAAACTTGCCCTGGCGTCTTCCTCTCCAGACATAGACAAATGGCACGTTACCAAGCTCCATAACTCACTTTTTAAAAAGGATTACCTTTCACTTACTCCAGTCCTATGATAAATGGACTTGCTGGGAGTTCTCTCTCCCCACAAGTCCAGAGTTTCCTGGAACAGAAGGTGCTCGTGAGGACGCTAAACAGATGCCCGGCATGCCCCTTGTAAGCTCTGGGCAGATGCAAAGAAGCATAAAACGGAGCACTGGGTGCCAGAACTTACAGTCCCATTAAGGAGGCAGCGATGTCCATAAGTAATTTCACTGCCGCATGATAAATGCGATGGCACAGGTAGATGGAAACACTTTGGAACTTACAGAGGGAAAGACGAACTCTATCCTGGCCAAAGGGATCTGTCAGAAAGGCAGAAATGGCTTTTGTGCAGGGTCTTAGGGAGAAATAGGAGGATCCTGGGCTGAGAAAAAGAGGAAAGGCATCCCAGGCAGAGGTACAGCACACACAAAGCAAGTCGGCCCAAAGGTGGGTGGGGTGGTAAGGGTGGTGGGGAGTCCGATAGTGTGGCCCCAGCGGCTGTCTGCCCCTCCATTCCCAGCCTGGGGCCTCTCTCCTGTGCCTTGTGAGAAGCTGCCTGGGCATCCACTCCTATACCAACAAAGACCAAGGGGCAGGTTCCAACTCCCTACTCCCTCAGGGTCCTTCACATGGCTTCAGAGGGCCCTTGGCACACAAGAGTGGCCTTGTGAATTATGAGTGGCCTTAGCAATTACTTTCCAAACCTAGAATCAGGCCGAGGGTCAGATAGTGCACTAGAATGTCTAAAACTGTGTCTCTAGGACAAAGGTCACTGGGATCATCAGGCCCATGATTTAGCTTTCTGTTAACTGTGCCCCACACCTCCAGAATCAGCGCACACCTGGCATAGGAGAACCCCCAGTCACTGCACGTGATGCTCTAACCTTTAGGGAAGGAAGAGGACCTTTTCCAGCTAGGGGAGAAGAGTGAGGCAGGAAGAAAACAGACCCAGCAAACACCTTCATCAGTGGCCGCAGCCTCCGCCAGCAGCAGGGCTCAGGAAGAGCTCTAATGACATAAACATGGTGGTCTCTCCAGTGCCCTAGAGGGGCTTGTCTCACTGCTTCCAGAGCTATTCACAAATCGTAGGTGAGACCCATTCTGTCCAGCCAGACTTTCCACCAAGATTTTCCCCAAAGCGGCTTAGTCTCAGGATTTGCACAGACACAGCCCTGAACCAACAGAGGCTGGCCCTCAGGCTGAGCCCAGATATGCAAAGCTGCTGCCACTCAACTTTCTGTTCTTTGGAAGATGCAGAGTGGTTCAGGGACTTCCCTTCAAACATGAGCTATCTTCTAGAATCTTCTGATCAGAAGTAGATTATCTGCTTGGCTGTTTTGTTCTAGAATCACATGTCCTCCTGTTGGAATCTCTCCTAACAGGCGTATCAACTGGAGCAACAAGAAGTGTCTTCACTGGACTGTTACGAGGGGCAGAAGACGTGGGCCATGGCTGTTTGGCAGCCTACAGAAATGTGTTGGTGCTTCTGGTGCCAGTGCTAGTAAGTCGTTCGTTTTACAACAGCTGCTCTCAGATGTAGGCTCCTGGTTCACAAACTCAACAAAAGGAGTAAACATTTTTCATGTATCCATCAACAAACATGTCAGAGTCACTGCAGGTGGGAGGTCCACGTGGCCTGCTGAGGTCAGGAAGAGAAATGCATTTTCCTGGGGAGATCAGAGTCTAGTTGAGAGACCTCGGACGTACCTAACTAGCCATGAGCCCATGTAGAACACGGCAAGTCCCCTAAAACGCGCCTGAAGGGTGACAGAAGTGCAGCACATGCCCCTAGGGGACTGGAGATGGCCTCCCACATGGGCCAGTTGACTAGGGATGAAGAAACAGATGGGCAGTTGGCAGATGGAGGAGGGGAGGAAGGCGGAGGGCACTCCAACAGAGGGAACAGGGTGGCAGTGACAGGGAAGTTGCAGGAGCTGACTTCACAGACATGAGTGCAGTTTGGCCCAGTCCAGGCTGCTCCAAAGAGGACCTTGAATGCCATCCAAAGGAGACAGACCCTCCGTTGACTGTGGCAGTAAGGGCAGGGGACAGATGGGAAAGACATGTCAGCAGGTGAACACTACAGACCTGTGTGTTTCCCACAGTCTGCAACCCCATCAGAGAGCCCATTGTATGATGAATAGCCAGCCATCCATAGGTGCGGGGCACTGATTTAATGAACCAGCTAGGCTGTGAGAAAATTAATTCAGTGGTAATGTTCTGGATAGATTGGGGAGGGGAACGAAAAGAAAGAGACTTTAAAAAAAAAAAGGAAAACCATGAGAAAAGGGGAAAGAGGTGCTAAACACATTATATAACTGGACTCTCTGCCAGTTACTTTCAAATATATTATTTCATTTAACCTCAAAAAATAGGTATATGTGTTTGTGGGCAATTAAGTACGCGAGCTCATCCCAGAAAAAGTGCTGCATACTTCATTGCTGAATATCACTATGGTCACCTTTAAAGTACTCCCCTTGGGAAGCTATGCACCGACGCCAGTGCCTAGTCCACCCTTCAAAGCAGTTTTGGAACTCTTTCTGAAATGGCCATCAGAGCTGTTGTCGTATTACCCTTGATGTCCTGACTGTCATCAAAATGTATTCCTTCCAATATTCCCTTTATCTTCAGGTAAAGAAAAAAGCCATTGGGGACCAGATCAGGTGAGTAAGAGGGTGTTCCGATACAGTTATTTGTTTACTAGCTAAAAACTCCCTCACAGACAGTGCCGTGTGAGCTGGTGCATTGTTGTGATGCAAGAGCCATGGATTGGCGAAAAGTTCAGGTCATCTAACTTTTTCACACAGCCTTTTCAGCACTTCCAAATAGTAAACTTGGTTAACTGTCCAGTTGGTACAAATTCATAATGAATAATCCCTTTGATATCAAAAACAGCAAAAACATTGTTGCAACAAGTTCATGAACTTAATTGTCAGACGGTGAACGTGCGCATCAGGGATACCAAAAAACTGTATATGAGTGTACACTTTGGTCAACGTTGCTCAAGCAGTAGTTCACCATGAGTAGTGTCTGGATGCTGATGGTAACCACTTTGAGCATCTCTTGTAATTGCAGAAGTCAAACGTAACTTGTATTCATCTTTTGTTATTGGTATATGTTGAGTACTACAATTTTAATAGTTTTTTACTTTCTTAAAATGTGTATACATTTTTTTGGCACCTTCTGTATATATATATATATATATATATAGA